ACACAGGGTTTGTCCCGACAGCCCGAGACCGGGGACCTCAAGGCCCCGCGGTGGGGGGGGGGGCGGGGGCGGGGGGGGGGGGGGGGGGGCGGGGAGTGTGGCAGAACCCCCCCCCCCACCCCACCCCAGGCCGTCTCCTCCCCGGCTCCGACTCCAGCATTACTCCTAGTCTCAAAGGGGGTCAGAGCAGCAGCTACGAAGGAGCCCCAGCAGGAATGGTCTGCTGAAGGAACCCTCCCCCCCCCCCACACCATGGAGGAGGAGGGGGCACACTTGGGGCAAACTGCCCTGGAGCACGGAAGGCAAGCTACAGCCAGCCTCGGCCCCACGGGGCACCCCAGGACAGGAGGGCCCCCTTGGAGCGCAGTCCTCCAGGGGCCTCCAGCCTCCTCCCCCTGCAGAGGCTCATGCCAGGCGCAACTGGGCAGGGGGACGCAGGGGACACCAGGGGCCGGCTGGTGGGGGGGTGGGGCAGCAGGAAACAAAGAGGGGAGCCGCAGGGACGGGGGAGGGGCAGCTCGTTGCAGAGCAGAGGAAGGCAGGCGCCCTGCAAGGGGACCCGGCCGGCAGACCCCAGCCCAGCCTCAAGCCCCCCCAGCCCCAGGGCCATGGCAGGCCTCCTGGCCCGATTCAAGCAGGCACCTGAGCTCCTCTGGCCACTATTAGACACGGCAAGCAGCCTTCGTGGGTTTTGCTGCAAAGTTTGCTCAGGACCCCTCCCCCCTCACTTTGGGGGGGGAGATGGAATGGCGGGTCCAACCCCCACCCCCGTTCCCCCCCAACAGGGGAAAGGAAGCCAGGAGGAGAAGAGCTAAGGACTCCCTGGAAGGGGCTCTTCAGCTGGGGGGCTGGGGCCGTCTGGGCAGAACAAAGCAAGACCCCAAAGGTGGAAAAAAAAAACCCACTTTCAAACGTAGGACGGGAGCAAGAGAGGAGGGGGCTCTTACAAAAGCCCTGGGTGCGCCTGAACTCCAGAAGCCCCCCCTCCCTATTACCCAGACAAAGAGCCCAGAGCTGCAAAGCTCCAGAGACCCCCAGAAAGAGGCCCAAGGTGAGGGGGCGACAGGTGCCAGGGCAGAATTTCCCAGGAAGAGGGGCTCAGGCAGGAATAAAGGCTCTCAGATGAAGGTGTGTGTGTGTGTGTGTGTGTGTGTGTGTGTGTGTGTGTGTGTCCAACAATGAAGCTGAAAAGACCCAGGTGCCTCTTAGACGGAAGGCAGACCAACGAGGCCCGTGGCTGGGCACAACCCCAAAGGGGTCATCGGGCCACCTGGCCAGAGGCTGGCCCTCTCGGGTCCCAGAGACCTGAGAGCAACTGGGCTGCAAAATGACAAGGTGCCCACCTCTTGCAAGCCTCTCCCTCCCCCGCCCCCGCAGAGGGGTGCCCTCCTCAAGCTGCTGCCCTTCGATAACAGCAGGATGAGCCAGTCCCCCCCCTCCCGCAGCCACCGACTTCCACGCCCTTCTTGGCCCCACAGAGGAAAGAGAGGCAGGGCACCCTGCCACAAGAAGGTGTGGGTGCTCCATCCCTGGAGAGACGGGACAGCCACGTGTCTCAAATTGTATAGGGTCCCCTGCTTGAGCAAGGGGTTGGGCTAGAAGATCTCCATGGTCCCTTCCAATTCCGTTGTTCTCAGAAGCGCCAGATCCCCGGTCCCAGAGGATCCGCCCCACAGACCCTCCGGGGGCCTCTGAGCATTTTTTAACAGGAATGAATTGGGTGCCATTTTTCTGGGTCAGGGCTGCCCAAAACATTAAGGGGCACACAGCAATCCGAGGGGAGCTCCAGGCCATTGAAAGGTGTAAAATGGACATGAACCCGGCCCCTCTGAAGCCCCCCCCCCCCCCCAGGAGAAGCAACCGGAAGGAGATAACCAGGGACCAGCGAGGTCGGCATTCCTAGAGAGGTTTCCAAGCCTCCTTAAAAGGCCAAAAGACGTAGCAGACTCCCCTCCTCACCTCTTGGCTCCTCTGCACCTGCCCAGCCCTCTGGCCCTCCCCTCCAGCCAGGTAGGGAGGGGCTCTGCCAGGGCTCGGTCAGCAGCGCCCAGGAGAGCCCAGAGCCCCGGGGAGGAGGAGGAGCCGTCCTCCAGACCAGAGAGACCAAACTAGAGCGGCTTCTCCAGTGGGGGGTGCAGCACTCATGCCGGCCTCTTCGGGGTGGGTCTGCACGTGAGGAAGAAGAAAGCCCAGCATTTCCCTGGGCTGGAAGGGAACAGAGAGCCTGGTGGAGCAGCTGGGGGGCTTCTTCCGGTTGGCAGGGAGGAAGCTGCCTGGTGTGGCCTTCCCTTCCCAGGGGCCCCCCAGGGATGGCGGGGTACAGTTCCCATAATCCCCAGTCACAGCCGGGGCAGCTGAGGCACAACCGGCAAAGGGAGGCAAGGAAAGAGCCAACATCCCCCACTTGGGCAATTCAAACATGAAGGAACCCCTTTTAACGGTTCAATTAAACAATTGGGTAAATTAATGCTGCTTCAAAAAAACATCTGCGCACCACCCCCCCCCCCCAGCCTTTGCTTCCACAGCTCCTGTCCTCCCTTGGGGGAGGGGGGGCGCTAAAAAGGGCAGGAAGGCAGCTGGATGGGCTTCCCCCTCCCTTTCGGCGTTTCCCTCCCCTCTTCCAAGCCTTGGATCGGGGCCTCCTCGTCCTCCACAAGCAGCCAGGCTCTGCTGCTCACCGGCCAGCCGGGTCTGCAAACTACACCTCCCAGCCTGCTCCTCTCCCAGGGAAGCAGAGCAGTGCATGCTGGGACTTCTGGTCCTCCCCATTCTCCCAGGATGAGAGCGTGTCCTCGCTTAACCCCAGCAGTGCTCAGCTGGCCCCGAGCGCATTAAGGGCGAGAGGAAGGCTGAACACGCTTCTCCTCCCCACAGCTGCCCCCACATCCCGGGCCCTCCAGGCGGGGCCAGCGATTCCCAGGACGGGGAGGCGGCGCCAGCTCCCTCCTCGGCAGAGGCCCAGAGCCCCAGGAAGCAGTTGCTCAACCGGGGTGGGGGGGGGACCCAGCAACAGCCCAGGGTGGCCAGAGCCAAAGCAGACGATCTGGATCCCCCCCCCACCGAACGGCCCCCACCTAACGGCCGAGACTTAACCGGCCATCCAAGCCACGTAGCCCCCTCCCCCAATTCAAAAGGTCCTCCATGGCACAAGAGGCGGCAAAGCAGAGGAGGCAGAAATCAGAGGGGTTTGGGGTGCAGGACCGGAAAAGCAGCTCCAGCCCCCCCCCCCGCCAAGCGCCCATGGACCCCGGGCTGCGCCCTCTGCAGCAGCACCGCGTGGCCATTGTCCCCGCTGGGCGCTCGGTCCTCACGTGGCCCTGCAGCAGCCACGGAGGGCAGAGGGGCCTCCTGGGAGTCTCACAAGATTTGCAGGGTGGGTGGGGGGCAGAGAGAGCCCCCTCTGAAGCAGCCAAGGCCTCCTGGGAGAAGACGGGGGAGCCAGCCACCCAAGCCAAGGAGGAGCAGCGGGATGCGGGGGGAGCAATCCTCCCTCCCTCGGGGAGGGAAGCCCAGCCTCTATCTGCCCTGAGGGACGGGTGGGGTCACCCTGGCTTCCACGCAGATTAGGGCAGAGTTCGGGTTTGTTCTGTCAAAGGTTACAGAGAACAAACTCCGGGACAGAGCCAATAGGATGATTCTCTAGCTTTCTAAGGGGCTGCCCCAAAGAAGGGGGGGGGAGTCCACCCCTTCTCCAAAACACCGGAGGGCAGGAGAAGCAGCGGCCCTGGGTGGAAACTCATCAAGGAGGGAGAAGCAACGGGGGGGGAGAGCAGCTTCCCTCCAGGGGTCGTGGCTGCTCCAACACTGGAGGTCTTGATGGAAGAAGAGCCCGGACAACTACGGAATTTCTCTCAAACGGTATAGGGTTTCCTGCCTGGGCAGGGGAGGGGGGTGGACTTTAAGACCTCAAAGGTCCCTTCCAATTCTGTTATTTTTTTCCCATTTAATGGTTGCCTCCTTCTGGCCCAATGAAAAAGCAATAATTCCAGGTTTTGATTATGTTCGTCTGCTTTTCCTGAGAGGAACCGGGGGACGCCCACCACGCCCTCCAGGGCCTGTGAGATCCTTCGCCAACGATCCAAGCAGACGCTGCAAGCTCTGACAGCCGCGATGGCCGCCTAGTGAAATGAAGCCCACCAGGTCATGGAGAGCCAGAAGCCAGGGGGCAGCTGGAAAGCCAGGACTTCTGGGAGCGCCGGGGCCACGCCCGGGTTCTTCAG